CCCCACTGGGTGAGTTATGTGATAATTAATCATTCGGTTACATTTCAGGACTTGTTGAAATGTTTGGATGTGTTGAAAATGGGAAGGTGAAAGAGACGTGCGTTCATAACGTATCTATGATGTGGTTCAACTGTGTTTCAACTTTCAAGGCTTTATTGTCATTAGCTTCTTCTCATATGGTGCAAAATATTAAGCAACCAACATTAATTAAACTGTATTATATTTTAACTGTACTATGCAAGGGTGTAACTTTGGTTTGAGAAGTGGGGGGGGGACACAAAACAGGGGGTCCTCGGCAATGAAACATTTTTCTCGATTTAATTCCATTTCCTGCCTTTCTACAAATATATTAGGGACTATGGTGTTAACAAATCCAAGAACAATGTGTAGTGTATATAATGAGGAGAAGATTTGTGTCTTTAAATTGAAATTAAAGCATCAATCTGAGATGTATGGATACAGCTCTCAACACTCATGAAACAGAACTGTATATATTTCAATACTCCATTAGAATATGCTCACAACCAATAACACATCATTGATAAACTCCTCTCTCCTATCTTAAACGTACCTAGTCTGCATTCTTTCTTATTATTTATGCATATTTTACTAATCACTCCCCTTTTAAACCGTGTTTTTTAATTTTTTACTGACAGTGGAATGATTTCTTAACTTATTTTTGAACAACTATATTAAATAGATGGAAATATTTGTTTACATAGATGACCAAACCGTTTGAGACCCACTGAGATAACTTAGACTAAAGTTTACAATCTAATCACTCAGCGAGTCCTTTACCTCATCTCTTCTCTTTTCTGAGATGAATGTATTTGTATGCATGGTCCTTGTTGAAATAAATACATCACATTAGCTACAGTGTAGATATGGCAATGAAAAACGTAGGTCACAGGCTCCTCCAACAGTGCAACATGAATATATATAGGACATAGAACAATGTTCAGTCATCGTTCTTATGTTGATTTACTTTGTAAGTAATTATGGGACGCATTTCTTCTTTCCTAGCAATTTTCCTTCATACTTTCTTGCCGTGAAATAGGTCTTAAATTCGATTCAAAGTGGTCTTAAAAAGTCTTAAATTTGAGTTGGTGAAACCTGCAGGAACCCTGTATTTACTTGCACTAGTTTTATTGTGTTGCACGGTTGGAGGAGCCTGTGACCTAAGATTTCCATTGACTTATCTACACTGTAGCGATGTACGAATGACAATAAAAGCCTTGAAACTTGAACCTTGAATGTCCTCTCAGTGTGTGTTTAATGAGGTGATTTATCAGCGTCTGATCACCCGTCTCTCCTCAGGAGACACGGTGGACAGGAACGGCATCGTGATGGCCAACAGCGCCCGCCGGCTGGAGGTCGTCAGGAACTGCATCACATACATCTTTGAGAACAAAATGCTGGAGGCCAAGAAGGTGAGAGTGACGTATAATCACACCGATGAACTTATCCCAAAGAACTGAACGAAATGGCCCTAGGGTTAGTGTCTTATCCCTCCACATGAGATAAGATAAGAAGTACTTTGTGTTGCAGCAGCATCAAAAGACAAGACACTAGACAGAGGATTTAAAAGAAATAAACTATCCAAAATGTAAACATCTCAAATAGAAATGAAATAGCATTAAAAAAAAAAGTGTTGAAATACACATTTACAGTAACAAAATATAAAGCTGGATATTATGTATACATTCATTGTGCAAAGAATGGATTATTAAATATTAGATTGAATGTAAAATGTACAGTGGGAGTTGTGGAGCAGAGAGTTCTCTTCCAGCCAGAGGAGATTTGTTATACACTGTTATTGCATTGATTGAATGTGTTCCTGTATCGGTCCTTGTGACAGCGGAGAGGAACTTTAGTTTTAAAGATGTTTCTGTCCTCTCTCCTCGGTCCAGTTGATGCCGGCCGTGCTGCGGGCGCTGAAGGGTCGGGCGGCGCGGGTCTGTTTGACTCAGGAGCTGAATCAGCACGTCCTGCAGAACCGAGCCGTGCTGGACGACCAGCAGTTCGACTACATCGTCCGCATGATGAACTGCACCTTACAGGTAAGACTGCAAATACTACAATAGCCGCTTTCACACCAAGTACTTTGCCGTACTTAGTTCCCAGCACTTAGTTCCCAGCACTTAGTACCCCCATGGAACTAAAGAGCAGATCGCGTTCACACCGGAATAAGTTCCCTGAGGGAGGATTAGGCAAATGAAGCCGCTGACGTCACTTCTTCTTCTTCTGCTTTGGGTTTACTGGCAAGCCGCAAACCACTTCATGGCGTATACTGCCACCCGAAGTCCCCGGCCGGAAGTCCCCGGAGTTGGGGACTGGCTTCAGTAGAAGCTGCTGGGAGTCCCAGCAGCTTCTACTGAAGCCGACACCACGCCGACACCTCCTCATCTCCACCGCTCCCATGTTTTTTTTTGTGTTGCCATAAGTTAGTCTCTCTCCGTTGGTGCGCGGGGCTAATGCTAATAATGCTAATGCCAGCAAATACAAAAACCTCACAAAACCTTTCCGAGTTTTACGGGGCGTGGTTTGCAATTCGCCCAGCCAATCAGAAATTGGAACTTTTTTCTCCCCAGGATAGTCCCACCTCTCTAGCAGGCACTGAAAAGGCGGTAAAAGTTCTCATGAACTAAGTTCTCTTTTTTGGTGTGAACGCAAAATCCCAGGAACTATCGGAACTACACGGGAAAAGTACGGGGAAAAGTACTCCGGTGTGAAAGCGCCTAATATCACTAGAATGAAGGGTATAATAAAACGGGATACTTAAGGTACTGTATATGGTAAATGGACTGTACTTATACAGCGCTTTATCCAGTCTCTACGACCCCTCAAAGCGCTTTAAATACTACGAGTCATTCACCAATTTATACAGAGCAGTGTACCTTGCCCTAACATTGACACACATTCACACACCGTTGGCCATCGGGAGCAACTCAGGGTTAAGTATCTTCCCCAAGGATACATCGACATGTTGACAAGTATTAGACAAATAGCAGTTTTGAAGTGATGGTGGCGCTAGAGGATCAACTGAGACGGTACTAATCATTATGTCATGCCTTAACCAACAACACACTTTGACTTAACTGCAAATCACAACAGTTAGTCTTTACTCATGCACATTAAGAAGATCCAGCGTCAGATATCTAGCTGTGTTACAGATGAACACATATGTAGTGTTTAAAGAAGTACAGTATAAGGAAGACCTACTTCAAGCAGACACAATAAAGAGTTAATGTTTTAAATAAAGTTGTGTTTTGTGGTGTTGTCATCATTCGTTGCTCTTCTGTCTTCAGGACTGCTCACATATAGATGAGCACGGTATTGCAGCGGCGCTCCTTCCTCTGGTCACAGCCTTCTGCAGGGTGAGTTCATTACTGAATCACAACTGAATAAGTCTCTGTCTGAACATCAATATAAGACGTCTAGAGTGGATTTTCTCCTTCCTAAAAGTCTCCTCCTATGTTTGTCTGACAGAAAATGGGCGCGGGCATCACTCAGTTTGCCTACAGCTGCGTGCAGGATCACATGGTCTGGGCCACGATGCAGTTCTGGGAGGCCATGTTCTACAGCGACGTCCAGAACCACATCAGAGCTCTGTACCTGGAGGGGGAGGAGGGAGAGCAGCAGAACAACTCGGTGAGCTACTTTAATGTTTATTTTACTATCTGCTTTTTAATGATTGCTTTGAAATGCCATTTTCTTAATGTCTTTCATTTTTGTAAAGCACTTTGAATTGCCTTGGGTTGAAAAGTGCTATATGAAAAAACGTGCCTTACCTTACACTCAATATGCTACTAGAGGGAAGATGAATGATAGTAAAACTTTTGGGGACCACCACTAATAAGTCAGTGTCTCCTCCTGCTGAGCCGAGTGTCCAATCGTCTTGAACTGATTAATCATCAACCTTCCTATTTGTTCCCAGGAGCAGCAGGAGATCAGCGCTCTGGAGCTGGCGTCAGAGCAGAGCCGGCTGTGGCCGACGCTCGGGAAGGAGATGCAGACGGAGCGCGTGCAGAAGGAGGAGAGCACGGTGTTCAGCCAGGCCATCCACTACGCCAACAGGATGAGCTACCTGCTGCTGCCGCTCGACACCAGCAAGAACCGGCTGCTGAGGAACACCGGCCTGGGAGACGTGGAGAGCGTCAGCAACTCCTACGTCACCAACAGGTACGTCACTAACTCCTACGTCACTAACAGGTACGTCACTAACTCCTACGTCACTAACTCCTACGTCACTAACTCCTACGTCACTAACAGGTACGTCACTAACTCCTACGTCACTAACAGGTACGTCACTAACTCCTACGTCACTAACTCCTACGTCACTAACTCCTACGTCACTAACAGGTACGTCACTAACTCCTACGTCACTAACTCCTACGTCACTAACTCCTACGTCACTAACAGGTACGTCACTAACTCGTTAATAACGCGTTAATGCAATTTTTTTTTATCGCCACTAATTATTTTAACGTGCGATTAACGCATGTGTATTTGTCCTCGGCCCGCCCCGTAGTTTCAGAGCCCAAAGGCTTGTTGTTGTTAGTTGGATGGTGGGAGATTCTAGGGAGAGATATGGATACAAGGAAAGGTGTTTTAAACAGCAAGCCAAGCCCACAGCTGATGCTGACAGCCCCGCTCCTGCCGCTCGCCTGCGGCAGACCACGCTTGAATGTTTGCCGGGGAGACGCCGATAGCTAAATGGGGGGCTACAGCTTAACATTGTGGAGGACGAGGGGCTGCGTTAGATCATTCGGATCGCATCCAACGTGTCGACTGCACATCACAGCGCATTATTTTGACCCACAGTGGGAACTTCAGTCTCATGCTTTGACTGTTATGAAGACAGAGGAGCGGCATTTCGCCGACAACTGTAAACAGGCTTGTCTGTTTGAGCAACTGGCTCAGTGCAGAGAAGTAGACAGGGTTGCGAGAGAGAGAGAGAGTGAGTGGAGAGAGAGAGTGGAGAGAGAGAGAGGAGAGAGAGAGGTGATGGAGCGAGTGAGAGAGTTAGCGAGAGAGCTAGGAGATACAGGCTCTATAGATGCTCCAGCTGATCAGTATGTGCTCTCTCTCTCTCTCTTCTCTCTCCGCTCTCTCTCCTCTCTTTCTCTGCTCGTCTCTTCTTATGCTCCTCTCTCTCTCTTCTCTCTCCTCTCGTCTCTCCTCTCTCTCCTCTCTCTCTCTCTCTCTCTTCTCTCCTCTCTCTCTCTCTCTCTTAGCCATCCTCTCTCTCTCGCTCTCTCTCTTACTTTACACTCGCTCTCTCTCCGTTCTTTTCTCTCTGCATTCCCTTGTTGTGTTGAGAATATTTGTCAGTGTTTCTAATGATAATAAACAAACATTTGCATAAAGCATATTTGTCCACTCATATGTTGATAAGAGTATTACAAACTTGAAAAATATTTCTCTAAGGTACATTTAGAACAGATAAAAAAACGTGCGATTAAATATTTGAATCGACTGACAGCCCTAATAAAAACCTGTCTGAAAATGAGCTGATCAGAGTTTGTCTTACATCAAGTGTAAAGACATATTCCGACTAGAAATTAGACTAATACACTTGGCAAGATTTGGAGTGTCTGTAGTGTGAATAACAGCTCTTTAACTAAGACACGGAGATGATCAGAGAGGTGTTTCCTGTGTGTCAGTATTGCAGGCAGCATGGCGGAGAGCTACGACACAGAGAGCGGCTTCGAGGACGCAGAGAGCTCCGACGTGGCCAACTCCGTGGTTCGCTTCATCAACCGCTTCGTGGACAAAGTGTGCAACGAGAGCGGCGTGACCAACGAGCACCTGAAGGCTCTGCACACCATGATCCCAGGTGAGAGCTCACTCGCTGCTAAAAAAAACACACATATCTTCTTAAATCATCATCACATCTTAAAAGGCACTGTAGCTCAAAATGTATTTTTTTAAAAGTCTCTTCTGTCCACCGCCTTTACCCTCTTTGCAGATATCGTTCAGATGCACATCGAGACGTTAGACGCAGTCCACAGGGAGAGTAAGAGACTCCCCCCGATCCAAAAGGTAACCAATTCCTATTTTTACGTTCCACTGGACAAAGGCCATGCAGAAGCCCCGCCCACTCCCCTCTCCACCAATCCCTGCAGCTCACAGTGTCACGGCAGGTACGTCTGTCCGCCAGAGACAGAAGCGTGTGACTCACAGCACCCCGGAGCAGTGCATGCTGGGTGATTTGCTCTCTCCCGTGTTGTTTGCCGTCTGAAGAGCTGCAGTGCCTTCAGTCTGAAGGGTGCTGTCAGTCCTGCCTGCAGAGAGGCTACTCTGAGTGACGTGTTTTGTCATTTAAATTAAGAAATAGTGAGGGAACATCCCCCGAAAATGTCCCATCTCGAACCTATTTTGCTTTTTGTTTCGTAGCGTGCAAGTTCAAGTCATGTATCAGTTTAGATGTTTCGATATGAGATTGTAATCTGAAGCAAAATTCGAAATAAATGTGTGTGTAATTGTAGAAAAGGCCCCAAAGTTATAGTTATTGATATATATATATTATTTTATTATACAGAGTTTATACCTGTTAAGTTGTGCCTTCATAGTGGGGAGGGGCTAACCCACGTGTTTTGGGTGACGTCATACATCAGAGGGTAATGTGCATCAGTAGTTGCAGGAAAGTTATGCCGTCTTAACCTTCGTCTTGTGTGCGTAAATGAACGAAAAACCACACACAGACAAATATCTGTATGCCTGCTTAAATAAGTAAAGAAGTCAAGCCTCATCTTAGCTCCTCATTTCCTCTATTCTGGACCTTTGGCCTTAAGTGGTGTTCTGGCCGACACACCTGGGTGAACCTAGTGATAGACAAAAAACTAGTGCCAACACTGAGTTATCTCTAACTCTCCACTACAGTAATTTTAAGACTCAGCAGTTAAATTCCTACAGAGGAAAAATAGGCCTTGTTTTGCAAGAAAATGCTGCTCTCAAATATAGAGATGGTCTGCTTCTCTCTGTTTTATAGCATGTTAGAGCACGTGTGGCATTAGATGTCGTGTAACAGATTAGCAAACATGTAACTCGTTTCCTATCAGAGGTGAAATTCCTTAGGAAGGCCTCACTGGCGGAACGGAAGTGACATAATGGGCCGAAGGACAAAGCCTACTTCACACACACAGGCCTTTTGGACTAAAATAAAAAGCCCTTTAATGAATCCTCAGGGACTGTTCACACCACAGCAGTCTTTACATGCCAAGAATGACCAAATGAAGCATCAAAAACACATCCAACGAATTATAATAAAACATGACTTTCTGTGTATTTATCTCATCCTCTCTGGCAAAGTCTTAACAATCATGTTGTGTGCTATTTACCGAATCACTTCAACATCTAATTTCATCATTTCCTGGTTCTTAACGTCCTGAACAGTGCAGGTTATCATCCAGCTAATAACTGCAGCATGGTTGTGAACGCATGAGGAGTGCTGTGGTTGTGTGAAATATGTAAACTGAAGTAGTATTGTAGTACTTTTGAGCAAACAGGAATCCCAGATACTGAAGAATCATCTATTTTCCATTCATTGCGAAATTCATTGGGATGTTAGACGATTAGTAAGGAAGTATTTCAGAATCAGATTCTTACCAAGTACGTTTACACATACGAGTAATTTGCTTTGGTGTATATGGTGCATACATAAACACAAGATAAATTGTAAGAAACAATTATTTTAAAAAGTCGATTTTAACATTAAAATACTGATTATTATTTACATGAAATATAGATGGAATAAAACTACAAGATAAATTGTAAGAAAAACAACCAAAAAATAAAAACAACTATAAAAAACGGTTAAAAAAAGTCTATTAAAACATAAAAATACTGATAATGATTTACATGAAATAAAGATGGAATAAAACTACAAGATAAATTGTAAGAAAAACAACCAAAAAACTACTTTTTAAAACATAAAAATACTGAGAAATATTTACATGAAATAACAAATTTCTTTAGGTGTTTTTTTGGCTCAACGTTGATCATTAATCCCCCTCCCTTCCTCTCTTGTCTCTGTGTGTGCAGCCCAAGCTCCTGAGGCCCACCCTCCTCCCCGGAGAGGAGCTGGTGATGGACGGCATGCGGGTCCATCTGATCCCCGACGGCCGGGAGGAGGCCACGGGGCTGATGGGAGGACCGCCGCTGCTGCCTGCTGAGGGCGCCATCTTCCTCACCTCGTACCGCCTCATCTTCAAGGGGACGCCCAACGACCCTCTGGGTGAGAGACCACACACACACACACACACACACACACACACACACAGTTCTGTGTGCTGTTATGCTGTTATGTTCAGTCATCGTTCTTATGTTGAACATGAATACATTTACTTTGTAAGTAATTATGGGACGTATTTCTTCTTTCATAGCAATTTTCCTTCATACTTTCTTGCCGTGAAATAGGTCTTAAATTCTATTCAAAGTGGTCTTAAAAAGGTCTTAGAAAGTCTTACATTTGAGTTGGTGAAACCTGCAGGAACCCTGCCAGACAGACACACACACAAACGTACACAAAATATACTTGGGTTATGCTTCCAGCTGAGCTTAAAACACTTCCACTCTTTCTCCTGGATATTGAGCAACTAGTTGTAATATTATATTTGACCTGTACTGTATATTATAGAACTGTTCTTTGATCCGTTTTATAATTGTTGTGTGATAGAGACTTGTTTTTGATTATTCGTATATATGTACCTGCCTTGGGACTGCAGATGGAAATGGCATAGATGATCTTTTCTCCTTTTGATTGTATTTGTATGCATCGTCCTTGTTCGATAAAGACATAATAACAACTCTAACGCTCTGCCCTGTCAGTGCATTACTCTAACCCTGCTCTGTTCTTCCTGCAGTGGGGGAGCAGGTGGTGACTCGCTCCTTCCCCATCGCCTCTCTGACCAAGGAGAAGAGGATCTCCGTCACGTTACCCATGGACCAGTTTGTCCAGGAGGGGCTCCAGCTGCGCTCCTGCACCTTCCAGGTACTTTCACATCCTCAATTGCCCTTTTCTTGTTCCTTATTGACCCCTTCTTAAAATAGTTCTCTATATTGTTGTTTTACAATTAAGTATGCACCATGACACCAAGTCAAATCCCTCGTACGTGTCAACCTACCTGGTAATAAACCTGTTTCTGATTCTCTGATGTCCCCGTTTCCCTGTCTGTGTGCAGCTGATGAAGATAGCGTTCGACGAGGAGGTGGCTTCAGACCAGGCGGAGGGTTTCAGGAAACACATGCACAAGCTCCGCTACCCTCAGCACGTCCAGGGCACCTTCGCCTTCACTGTGGGGCAGAGCAGCAAGCTGGTGGTGGAGCACAAGACCAAGGACAAGAACCAGTCGCTCAAGTAAGGAACCAGAGCAACCAAAACACTCAGCATTATGTCTTTGAAAGAACTGACCGGCTGTTAAATCACTCGGAACATCCTGTAGACCACACACAGAGAATCCATGACATAACTCATCTCAGCAACATCAGATGCATTTACTACTGCCACATCTTTCTTGCATTTACCAAGCTGTTCATTTACACCTCAAGCTCAAGAATATCCCCCCCCATATTTCACAGGTCTACAGGTCATTTTATAATCTTGTTGTGAATTTAAGCGAGTATGTTTCAAACCCTGATGCTACCAGATTTGATCCGTGTTGAAATCTTAGGCACACTGAAGTTAACCACGGTACCAGGGATGCTCCGATTGACAATTTTGGGGGCGATCGCCGGAATCAGTATCGGCCGATACCGATATCCGATCGAGTGGGCGGGGCCTATGGGGATCTTCCATTTAAAGTGATGTTTACAACTCAGTTAATGGGGCTCATTCACTGGCGCTTCCACAAACAACATAATTATTACATTCAAATGAAGTACATTATTCAAGCTCCCTCATCGATCGGAGCATCCCTACACGGTACCATTCTTAACATATCATAACATAATTAAAATACACATACTGTCATGTGTTTAGGGAGGAGAAATTGTTTGACATCCGCCACATTCAAGGTGCATATAGACAGGAAAAAGTGGTCCAAACTTCTCGTATATAGAACAACTATATTGTACAACCAATTCTTTTCAGCATCAATTAAAAAGCCCACAGTTGATCAAATATTAAAACATTTAGACGGGTCTTGCAGATCAAGATGGCTTTCTGAAAGTGTTCACATTGTTATGGCGGGGTGAAGTCATTGCTCCAAATTTAGATATGCGATGTGACAGAATCAGATGATATCGCTAATATGATTGTGGCTCAACAACTGACATCTGAAGCCACAACACAGATCAAAAGACAAGACAGTAACGGTGCGTCTACACAGCAGCGTTAAAAAAATCTTGTAACGCTTCTGCCCATTCACTTTGAATGGGGTGACGTCACTTTGCCTCACTTTTCGCCGAACTGCATTGTGGGAAGCAGAGCGGAGATTTTCAGGATTTTCAGGATTCAAAAGTTGAGCAATGTTCAACTTTTGAAGCTGAGGTGGAAGCATCAGCCAATCAAATCCCGTGTATGCAAATCTGACAGTTCAAGCGCTAGCCAATCAAACCGTGTGTATGCTGGGAGAGACATACCGCAGGTCATTTCCTCATATTCCAAAACATGGAGGAGAAATTAGCGGTAGGGAATCACCCGGTGCTTTATGACCAGTCCCTATTTACCTACCGGGATATAAACCGGAGGAGCCAGGCATGGAGGGAGGTGGCAGAGACAGTGGTAGGTTTTCGCCTGTTTGGGGAGTTTATATCCAGTTTACTTCGGGCTTTTTTGCTTCGTATGTCGGGGGCGGGAGATTCATGTGATTGGTTGTTGGTGCCTTGCTCGCAAAAAATCCCCAAGCTTCAGATACGCCCACCTCCAAGATTTTTTTTAACGCTGCTGTGTGGACGCTCCGTAAGGGTTATTTTCTACTTAGCTTATTGCCATCTACTAGCCTTTTAGCCAATGTGCTTTGTTTGACCAACACAACATGCACTTAACAAGGTTTTAACGGCACATAATGCAATGTTCACTGTAGTCAGGGTTATGAAATTGTTATAATCACAATTGTTCACATTTCTTCCCATGGGTAGCCCTGTGATTGCTAGCTTTCTGTTTAATGTCTGAATTCCAGCGCCAAGCCTCTGCTAAAAATGAAATGTGTTCACCCGCTGTTGGTGGATCACATTGACGTGCAATTTGGCCAAAGCTGAACTTGCATTGTTCACAAATTAGACAACAATGAGACTGTTTATAGTCTTTTGGGGGATTTATTTTGCCCTTTTAAATATTTCAAAGTTTTCACAACTATTCTTAGCTTCTGTTACAAAACTGCAAAAACCAAAAGCCACATAAGTACATGCCAGCTTGTAAACAAAAGAGAGGTTTTCTTGCAGCTGAAGAAACAGGATTATTCTGAAGCATTGCATGTCATGTGATTCACGTGCAGTCACTTCTTTCTCAGCATTCTGCATCAAGCTTGAGTGTGAACACAAGAAGCTTCTTAGCATCTAGTCCATTTCTCTCTGAGCGTTATCGTCCTCATGATACATCACCTGCTCTCGTCCCGCTCTGCTTTATTATCTGCTGCAGGACGATGTGTGTGAGATCTCAGAGCACAACATCAAAGAATATGATTCACAAAAGATTGCTGTAATCATTTGAGTCAAAGTGACCTGAGGCGTAATCTCATAGTGACGTAAGGAAGCCAAAAGTGGGAGCTACTCCGATGAATGTATTCTTGGATGGTCTAGCCACAATGTGACACACACACACACACTCACACACACACACTCATGGAAGCATCATGAGAGAAGTTGAATAATTCATCAGTGGAAAATCTATATACACCATCTCAAGTACAAATCTCCATTCAGACACATTCATTCATTCACTGTGGTAGCGGAGCATGCTATGCAGCGACACACCAGTGAACAGTGAATTAATGACTGTTGATTATAAGAAGCTCATTGTCAGCTAGGTGTTTAAAATTCAGATGCAACTTTGTGAGCTTGAAGACACAACAGGAAGTGGATTAACTGATGAAATACTGTTGAATCAGCACATGTATTAAAGGTCCCCTATTATACTGTTTTTCATCAATATATTATAGGTCTCAGATATATGCAAAACGTGTCTTTGAAGTGTTTGGCTCGAAACACCAAGCAGGTGGGGTTACCTTGGTTGCTGATTGGCTAATGGTTACACAAGACAAAACATCGTTATGACATCATAAAGTGGCCCAAATCTGATCAGCTCATTTTCAGACAGGTTTTTATATAAATGGATCAGGACAAAAAGAGAGAGAATCTTTGTTCCTGAAACTTTCAGAATGTCTTTACACAGAGGGGGGGACACATGTTGATGTAGAAGAGACATGAAGAAGAGGGGACACATGTTGATGTAGAAGAGACATGAAGAAGAGGGGACACATGTTGATGTAGAAGAGACATGAAGAAGAGGGGACACATGTTGATGTAGAAGAGACATGAAGAAGAGGGGACACATGTTGATGTAGAAGAGACATGAAGAAGAGGGGACACATGTTGATGTAGAAGAGACATGAAGAAGAGGGGACACATGTTGATGTAGAAGAGACATGAAGAAGAGGGGACACATGTTGATGTAGAAGAGACATGAAGAAGAGAGGACACATGCTGATGTAGAAGAGACATGAAGAAGAGAGGACACATGTTGATGTAGAAGAGACATGAAGAAGAGAGGACACATGTTGATGTAGAAGAGACATGAAGAAGAGGGGACACATGTTGATGTAGAAGAGACATTGAAGAAGAAGGGACACATGTTGATGTAGAAGAGACATGAAGAAGAGGGGACACATGTTGATGTAGAAGAGACATGAAGAAGAGGGGACACATGTTGATGTAGAAGAGACATGAAGAAGAGGGGACACATGTTGATGTAGAAGAGACATGAAGAAGAGGGGACACATGTTGATGTAGAAGAGACATGAAGAAGAGGGGACACATGTTGATGTAGAAGAGACATGAAGAAGAGAGGACACATGCTGATGTAGAAGAGACATGAAGAAGAGAGGACACATGTTGATGTAGAAGAGGACATGAAGAGATGAGGGTGACACATGTTTGATGTAGAAGAGACATGAGGGAAAGAGGGGACACATGTTGATGTCGAAGAGACATGAGGAAGAGGGGACACATGTTGATGTAGAAGAGACATGAAGAAGAGGGGACAGGGGACACATGTTTATGTAGAAGAGACATGAAGAAGAGGGGGACACATGTTGATGTAGAAGAGACATGAAGAAGAAGGGGACACATGTTGATGTAGAAGAGGACATGAAGGCAAGAGGGGACACATGTTGATGTAGAAGAGACATGAAAGAAGAGGGGACACATGTTGATGTAGAAGAGACATGGAGAAAGGGAGGGGACACATGTGTGATGTAAGAAGAGACATGACAGAAGAGGGGACACATGTTGATGGTAGGAAGAGACATGAGGAAGTAGGGGAACACATGTTGATTGTAGAAGAGACATGAAGAAGAGGGGACACCTGGTTGATGTAGAAAGAGACATGGAAGAAGAAGGGACACATGTTGATGTAGAAGAGACATGAAGAAGAGGGGACACATGTTGATGTAGAAGAGACATGAAGAAGAGGGGACACATGTTGATGTAGAAGAGACATGAAGAAGAGGGGACACCATGTTGATGTAGAAGAGACATGAAGAAGAAGGGACACATGTTGATGTAGAAGAGACATGAAGAAGAGGGGACACATGTTGATGTAGAAGAGGACATGAAGAAGAGGGGACACATGTTGATGTAGAAGAGACATGAAGAAGAGGGGACACATGTTGATGTAGAAGAGACATGAAGAAGAAGGGGACACATGTTGATGTAGAAGAGACAGTGAAGAAGAGGGGACACATGTTGATGTAGAAGAGACATGAAGAAGAGGGGACACATGTTGATGTAGAAGAGACATGAAGAAGAGGGGACACATGTTGATGTAGAAGAGACATGAAGAAGAGGGGACACATGTTGATGTAGAAGAGACATGAAGAAGAGGGGACACATGTTGATGTAGAAGAGACATGAAGAAGAGGGGACACATGTTGATGTAGAAGAGACATGAAGAAGAGGGGACACATGTTGATGTAGAAGAGACATGAAGAAGAGGGGACACATGTTGATGTAGAAGAGACATGAAGAAGAGGGGACACATGTTGATTGTAGAAGAGACATGAAGAAGAGGGGACACATGTTGATGTAGAAGAGACATGAAGAAGAGGGGACACATGTGGATGTAGAAGAGACATGAAGAAGAGGGGACACATGTTGATGTAGAAGAGACATGAAGAAGAGGGGACACATGTTGATGTAGAAGAGACATGAAAAAGTGGATTTTGCATAATAGGTGACCTTTAAACAAAAAACGTTTTCCTCTCGTTTGTCAGGACACTCTCCAAAAACCTCGTGAAGAGCGCCAAGAGGACGATCGGCCGGCAGTATGTGACCAGGAAGAAATATTCCCCCCCCACCTGGGAGAACAGGAGCAGCTTCCAGTCGGAGCTCGACGAGGACGAGATCTCAGGTAGTGTTTTTATTTAATATGTGGCATGTTCAAAAAGGCATTCAAGGGTCTTTTTTTTTTTTTTTAAATGACATGTCAAGTGCTTCTATTATACTAACACTTCAACTGCTTTTACCTGTTATATGTCAGTGTTAAATGTTAACTTGAATTGCCCTCGGTGCTTACACTTACACTTTAACGACGTTATAGTATTGGAAATGTTTTTAAAGTCGTCCCGTTTGCCTCCACAGTCTCGGAGGAAGTGGACCAGAGTTCGCTCACCCTCTCCTCCACCATGCGCTCGTCCGACCGACAGACCATGAGCAACGTCGTGGAGCGGGCCTGTTGCCGTGACTACCAGCGTCTGGGTCTGGGCACGCTCAGTAACAGCCTGACGAGATCCAAGAACGAGCCGTTCAGGATCTCAACCGTCAACCGCATGTACACGGTCTGCAGGAGGTGAGAGGGAACGGAGAACAACTCAGTTTAGACTTTTTATTGATCGGCTTATTTCATTAAACAGATGCACTTTGTTCAGAATATACACTCAAGGTCTTACATACAGTATAAGCAAATCACAACAGAAACATCTAAGCAGGTATATATTTAAAGTGGATATTTTGAAACGGCAGCTGAAGACACATTTGTTTTAATCTTTATAATGTATTTTGATTTATTTATAGGTTTTTACTTATGTTATAGTTTTATTAGCGACATCCCCACTTAACATGTGTGTGTGTTTCGCAGCTACCCCGGGCTGCTGATCGTTCCTCAGAGTATCCCCGACACGACCATCCAGAGGATCTCCCGCTGCTACAGACAGAACCGTTTCCCCGTGGTCTGCTGGAGGAACTCGAGAACCAAGGCGGTGCTTCTGCGCTCTGCGGGACTCCACGCCAAGGGGGTGGTGGGCTTCTTCAAGTCCCCCAACGCCCCCGCTTCAGGTAGAACAAGAATCTATTTCCAGCACTTTTAAATCCATGTCCTTGAACTGGGAAATATCAGAATCAGTATGTACATTATTTCCCTGATTAATAACGTGTTTGTTGGTGTGTTTTCTCGTGCAGGGCCGTCGCAGGCCGACTCCACCAGTCTGGAGCAGGAGAAATACCTGCAGGCCATCATCAGCTCCATGCCTTCATACAACGAGAGCAGCGGCAGAAACACACTCAGCGGATTCACATCTACACACATGAGCACCTCCGGTAAGTTGGGCCGACACATGCTCACGTTACATGTTTACGATACGATACGATACGATAATACTTTAACGGTCAGATCAAGTCTTGAATTTGACTTGCATCACAGCAGCTCCATGTGTAACATCAACATGGACAAATATCACCCCACAATAGTGGTTAGATTCTCTGTTCAGAACATGCGTTTGGGTCCCAGAAGATGTTGTTGGACCGCCTCACTAGGTTATTATGGTATGCCGAGTCATCACGTTTCTGTCAAACGGACTGTGGGTTCATGGCGTTTTTTTTTGTCCGTCCACAGACTCCTCGGATAAGCTGAGGCAGCCTAAGATCGGCGCTCTGATGAAGCAGGTGATGGGAACCAAGGAGGATGTTCCCGGGACGTTCAGCCGAGGAGGTGAGACTCATGCGGTTCCTCTGATAGCTTCACTTCCTCTGGTGGTTTCAAAACATCATGTGAACATTCTGTGTCGAGGTTTAAATGTGTTCATCACAATTCTGTATATAGAAGAGCAAATGAAACGACAATAGTGGTAGATACGCAATTGCACATGTTAGTATTGCAACATTGTGTGTGTGTGTGTGTGTGTGTGTGTGTGTGTGTGTGTGTGTGTGTGTGTGTGTGTGTGTGTGTGTGTGTGTGTGTGTGTGTGTGTGTGTGTGTGTGTGTGTGTGTGTGTGTGTGTGTGTGTGTGTGTGTGTGTGTGTGTGTGTGTGTGTGTGTGTGTGTGTGTGTGTGTGTGTGTGTGTGTGTGTGTGTGTGTGTGTGTGTGTGTGTGTGTGTGTGTGTGTGTGTGTGTGTGTGTGTGTGTGTGTCCATTGTGTGGTACTGTTGGTTAACTGGCGTCTCTGTCGTTTGACCTCAGCTCTGGGTCAAAGGGCGAAAGTCATCTCCCTCTCTCAGGCCAAAGGTTCTAGCAAGGCCAGGAACCCTCCTAGAGGTACAGTAGGCCCCGCCCCCTGCCCTCCTTTCTAACCAATCAGATCTCTTTAACAGTCAGTGTGTGTTTGCTGTGGAGAGCGTGCTTCCTCTGCAGAGTCGTGTTTCCATCAGAGAGCTGCTGCGCATGCTGTCTGACGTCCTGTTCGTCCTTTCTGTTCTCGATTCTTCTCTCTGTTGAATGTCAGCAGCAGTCAGATGTCAGCTGTGTGTCGTCATAATGTAGCTGTCAATCACCGAGCTCGACGCTTCAGACTGAGCTGGGTCGTTTCTACCTTGTTGAGCAGCATGACATGTTTTATATATCAGTGTGTTTACAGGATCACGCCAATGTCTGTACACTTAACGGCTGTTTAAAATGATAACCCTAACCCTTTACTTATCAATAATCAGTGTGTTGCCTACTTTACATGCAGCTGGAGAATCAAACTAGCAGGAAGATGAGAAATGTAGTGCTGTGGACGTATTTGAGACTCCTAAAACAAATATATGTTTAACTTTTAAGTCATTTTTAGCTGAATGTTTTCACCAGTTCACCTGGCTTTGAGACAGTCTTTTCCACTATAAACATTATACATTTTTTAGTTGTCCAAATCCCATCCACAACAGTACATTGCTTTTGATGATTCTGTTTTAACGTCGTGATCCCTTTAAAGACTCTCCTCTATCTGTGTGTGTCTGGCAGGTAAATGGGGCAGTATTCGGGGCAGCGGGCGTCTCAGCGCCTACAACCCGGACGTGGGGAACCGCCTGGCGAGTAAAGAGTCCGCGCAGTCCAACGGAGGGCCGAGCGAGGCGCTGTTCCTCCGCCAGCAGAAGGCTTACCTCTACATCATCGGAGACAAGGCCCAGCTCAAGGTGCTCATATGTAGATCATGTCACATTTCCACCTCGAAAGAGTCTAATGGAAGGTTAAGAAGGGTTGCAAAGAGTCTAATGGAAGGTTAAGAAGGGTTGCAAAGAGTCTAATAGAAGGTTAAGAAGAGTTGCAAAGAGTCTAATAGAAGGTTAAGAAGGGTTGCAAAGAGTCTAATGGAAGGTTAAGAAGGGTTGCAAAGAGTAATGGAAGGTTAAGAAGGGTTGCAAAGAGTAATGGAAGGTTAAGAAGGGTTGCAAAGAGTCTAATGGAAGGTTAAGAAGGGTTGCAAAGAGTCTAATAGAAGGTTAAGAAGGGTTGCAAAGAGTCTAATGGAAGGTTAAGAAGGGTTGCAAAGAGTAATGGAAGGTTAAGAAGGGTTGCAAAGAGTCTAATGGAAGGTTAAGAAGGGTTGCAAAGAGTCTAATGGAAGGTTAAGAAGGGTTGCAAAGAGTCTAATAGAAGGTTAAGAAGAGTTGCAAAGAGTCTAATGGAAGGTTAAGAAGGGTTGCAAAGAGTCTAATGGAAGGTTAAGAAGGGTTGCAAAGAGTAATGGAAGGTTAAGAAGGGTTGCAAAGAGTAATGGAAGGTTAAGAAGGGTTGCAAAGAGTCTAATGGAAGGTTAAGAAGGGTTGCAAAGAGTCTAATAGAAGGTTAAGAAGGGTTGCAAAGAGTCTAATGGAAGGTTAAGAAGGGTTGCAAAGAGTAATGGAAGGTTAAGAAGGGTTGCAAAGAGTCTAATGGAAGGTTAAGAAGGGTTGCAAAGAGTCTAATGGAAGGTTAAGAAGGGTTGCAAAGAGTCTAATGGAAGGTTAAGAAGGGTTGCAAAGAGTAATGGAAGGTTAAGAAGGGTTGCAAAGAGTCTAATGGAAGGTTAAGAAGGGTTGCAAAGAGTCTAATGGAAGGTTAAGAAGGGTTGCAAAGAGTCTAATGGAAGGTTAAGAAGGGTTGCAAAGAGTCTAATGGAAGGTTAAGAAGGGTTGCAAAGAGTCTAATGGAAGGTTAAGAAGGGTTGCAAAGAGTCTAATAGAAGGTTAAGAAGGGTTGCAAAGAGTCTAATAGAAGGTTAAGAAGGGTTGCAAAGAGTCTAATAGAAGGTTAAGAAGGGTTGCAAAGAGTCTAATGGAAGGTTAAGAAGGGTTGCAAAGAGTCTAATGGAAGGTTAAGAAGGGTTGCAAAGAGTCTAATGGAAGGTTAAGAAGGGTTGCAAAGAGTCTAATGGAAGGTTAAGAAGGGTTGCAAAGAGTCTAATAGAAGGTTAAGAAGGGTTGCAAAGAGTCTAATGGAAGGTTAAGAAGGGTTGCAAAGAGTCTAATGGAAGGTTAAGAAGGGTTGCAAAGAGTCTAATGGAAGGTTAAGAAGGGTTGCAAAGAGTCTAATGGAAGGTTAAGAAGGGTTGCAAAGAGTCTAATAGAAGGTTAAGAAGGGTTGCAAAGAGTCTAATGGAAGGGTTGCAAAGAGTCTAATGGAAGGGTTGCAAAGAGTCTAATGGAAGGTTAAGAAGGGTTGCAAAGAGTCTAATGGAAGGTTAAGAAGGGTTGCAAAGAGTCTAATGGAAGGTTAAGAAGGGTTGCAAAGAGTCTAATGGAAGGTTAAGAAGGGTTGCAAAGAGTCTAATGGAAGGTTAAGAAGGGTTGCAAAGAGTCTAATGGAAGGTTAAGAAGGGTTGCAAAGAGTCTAATAGAAGGTTAAGAAGGGTTGCAAAGAGTCTAATGGAAGGTTAAGAAGGGTTGCAAAGAGTCTAATGGAAGGTTAAGAAGGGTTGCAAAGAGTCTAATGGAAGGTTAAGAAGGGTTGCAAAGAGTCTAATGGAAGGTTAAGAAGGGTTGCAAAGAGTCTAATGGAAGGTTAAGAAGGGTTGCAAAGAGTCTAATGGAAGGTTAAGAAGGGTTGCAAAGAGTCTAATGGAAGGTTAAGAAGGGTTGCAAAGAGTCTAATAGAAGGTTAAGAAGGGTTGCAAAGAGTCTAATGGAAGGTTAAGAAGGGTTGCAAAGAGTCTAATAGAAGGTTAAGAAGGGTTGCAAAGAGTCTCATTCTAATCATAGCTGGACCTGTGTTATGTAGTTTGTCCAGGCGTGTATTTACAAATGTTTCGGACTATTTGCAAAAGATGTCTGTACGTTTTATGCAACGGTACTTTACTTCTGGTAAGTCGTGTTGCATCAATGTTGTTTGCCATCATTTGACTTTTATCCCACCCATCATTTTAAAATATATATTAACCGGATGTAGGATTTTATTCATGGGGTGTCTGGATTTTAAGTTGCAGCCAAACAGCGTAAACTCCGATTTTTAACAGTTGTCAGTGTTTTTAACGGTTAATTCACCGGGTCTATTTGTTTTGGAGAATAGTAGACCGATACAATATGAAACCCGGTGATCCCACGCTGCTTTATGACCTCTCCAAACTCCGTCTTTTCTTACTGGTTTAATATAAGGCCCTCTAGTGGCAGAAAATGACATTTAGGGGCTTAACGATTAGCAAGGAATGGAAGTGCTTTAAAATGACGCTGTACTTGTTGGTTTGTTATCTTGTTTACATTGTTGTTGTTGTTGTTGTGTTCAGGGAGGAAAGCAGGACTCGTTCCAGCAGTGGGAGGTGGTTCCCATCGAGGTGTGTGACGTGCGGCAGGTGAAGAACAGCTTTAAGAAGCTGATGAAGGCCTGCGTGCCGAGCACCTCCACCTCCGACCCCAACATGAGCTTTCTGCGCTGCCTGGAGGAGTCCGAGTGGATTTCTCTGGTGAGTTTAATCATAATCATAAAGCTTTATTTATATATTACTTTTCATACAACACATGCAGCTCAGAGTGCTTTACAAAATGACACCTAAGATTTTCATTGACATATCTACACTGTATGTACACATAACAATATACGCCTTGCATTTGAATCACCTTCAGAGGTTATTCTGACTGTGTGTGTGTGTGTGTGTGTGTGTGTGTGTGTGTGTGTGTGTGTGTGTGTGTGTGTGTGTGTGTGTGTGGTGTGTGTGTGTGTGGTGTGTGTGTGTGTGTGTGTGTGTGTGTGTGTGTGTGTGTGTGTGTGTGTGTGTGTGTGTGTGTGTGTGTGTGTGTGTGTGTGTGTGTGTGTGTGTGTGTGTGTGTGTGTGTGTGTGTGTGTGTGTGTGTGTGTGTGTGTGTGTGTGTGTAGCTCCACAGGGTGCTGCAGGTGTCCGTGTTGGTGGTGGAGCTTCTGGACTCCGGCTCATCCGTCATGGTCAGCCTGGAGGACGGCTGGGACGTCAGCACACAGGTTTGAATTACAGACACTAACTTTACTCCTGATGAGAGTCCTTTTTGTAAATATCTGCTTTGATTTCTCAGTTTTTTTCCACAAAAGCAAGTGACACAAAGCATGTACTTTCAGTTCAAATTCACACAGTATTTAAAATCTCCATTTCCATCCCACCCATTAACCCACAGAGTTAAAAGGGGGAATAATATGATAGTGTTGTATGCTGTAATATCACACCCATCTCATTCTTTATCAAGTTGGTCCTGTAAGGAGTCCTGTATATCCAGAAAGAGTTTCCATGTTCTAATTAAGGTTTAAGAGGAGCCTTTGAGTATGAACCACATTGTTTCTCTAACTGTAAGAAGTACATGACATCTTTGACCCACTGAGAAAAGGTCGGAGGATGTTACTTCCATTTTAAAATAATCAAACGTCTCTCAAAGAGCGTAGAAAAGGCTTTAACCACATGCTGCTGTTTGGTAGGGATGCACAGGTCTGGCTTTATACTAGCTCTGGCTCCACACAAGTTTTAAACATTTCACTAAAAAGCTAAAGAAATCCATCTCCAAAAGTTGTCTGAAAGCGTTCTTGTGTTGTGTCTTCAGGTGGTGTCTCTGGTGCAGCTGCTCTCTGATCCGTACTACCGGACGTTCGATGGTTTCCGGCTGCTGGTGGAGAAGGAGTGGCTGTCGTTCGGACACAGGTTCAGTCACAGAGGAGCTCAGACACTCGGCAGCCAGAGCAGCGGCTTCACCCCCGTCTTCCTGCAGTTCCTCGACTGCGTGCATCAGGTCAGTTTGCGGAATGTCGACTTCCTGCTGTTAGTGTGCAGAAAGACAGCCTCTGTAGGGCTTTCATTGCAGAGTTAGGGTTTTTTTTTTTTTACTACATTTATGCTTAACCTTGCCTGAAAATTACAATTAAAAAAAGTTAATGCAGGATTTGATATGTTTTACGAGACATAAGGGCAGGAATTCAGAGGGGAAAGGAGCCGTTTTGAGCTCTGCTACTAAAAACTGCTATTTTTTTTTTTTTTTTTAACCAGATAAAAACATTGAGATAAAATCTCATTTTCAATGCTGACCTGGCCAAGAAGGCAGCAACGTTACACATAACACATAACACAAACATATAAAATACAGAGAACATAACTAAGAAAACAAAAGACGAAAAAGCAGTCACTACATTGTGCACATTAGGACAATAAAAAAAGTACACTACTTGTTACTGCAAGAGCAGCTGGTGGTGAGGACTTCAGACAACTTCAATTTAAAACATGATATAGAGACAAGTGCCCTCAGTTTGAGGCGTGATTGAAGGTCATTCCAAGACCAAGGACCATAATAAGAAAGACTCCTTTTTCCAGCCTCAGTCTGCACAGCAGGAACCTGGAACCGTATCCAGGCACTGGATCTGAGGTTGTAAGAGTCGCAAACTGGGGCAAATCTGACACATATGTGGAGTGGAAGCTTTCCTAAAATGGCTTTATACATTAATAAAAACCAGTGCTGCATCCTACGCATACTAAGTGAGGACCATCCAGTTAGGCTATACAGTTTGCAATGATGAGTCCTATAGGGTGCATTTAATATATAACGCAGTGCAGCATGGTAAAGTGGGTCAAGTTTGGCCAAATATTACGTCACATGGGGGAGCAACTTTCTCGGACTCCTTCTCTGCCCAATGCGAGGTAGTAGTTTGTAGTTGGTTTGAGCGGTTGTGATTTAGTGAGCTGGTAGTTTTTCGGTAATTTTACATTGCATTTCACCATTTTGAATCATGGTGAGCTTGAGTGTCAGGACATCGAGTCCACAGTTTCCCTAACAGGAAAAGGACCGGAGCTAGCTTTCGTTCCTGGGTGCGTTGTGCGAGGTGCGTCCACCTCTCTGCAGCACATACTCTCCACAGCTGAGGCCGATCCAACAAAACGTCTATCAGGAAACCGTATTACATCTCTCTCCCCCCATTCGTTCCTCTCTCTCCCCCATTCGCTGCTCTCTCTCTCCCCACATTCGTTCCTCTCTCTCTCTCCCGGAAATAATTTATTTTACCGGACAAATTTGAAACTTACCGGTCATGTTTCAATAATAACAATAAGAATTGTGTAGCAGAGTTTCCGTTAGCAGGTAATTACCGGACTATGAGCGGATATGCTGATGTTTAAACTCAGTTAATGGGAGTCATTTTTATATTGCTTCAGTTTATAATCGTAACAGATCGAAAAGTTCAGATTCATTTTTCAATAAATGATGCGCTTCCACAAACAACATCATTATTACATTCAAACAAACTACTTGTAGTAGATGAAGTACATTATTCAAAAGTTTACATTAACTTTGGATAATAACACGAGAGAAACGGATTCTCTCTTTTCAAACAATAAGAGTGAATATCGGCCGATAATGACCGGCGGCCAATCGATCGGAGCATCCCTAATTATTACCGGACATTTTGACCGGCAGGTTTTGAATTTACCGGTTTTTAATACATTTTACCAGTTAAAAAACGGTAATTACCGGCTAACGGAAACCCTGATATACAACTAAGAAAACATGTATAAAAAAACTAAACAAAATCTGTTGTTCATTGAACATGATAGGGCCCCTTTAAAGTGAAACTCTTTAAGGATGCAGCTGACTAAAACCAAGACTTTGAGAAACTAAATGGCAGATTAATTAAAACACTGGATTTTATCTAACTCATTAAACTGTGACTTCCTCCTCCCCCCCCCCTCTCTCTTTAGATCCACCTCCAGTTTCCCATGGAGTTTGAGTTCAGTCAGTACTACCTGAAGTTCTTGGCCTATCACTACGTCTCCAACCGCTTCCGCACCTTCCTGCTCGACTCGGACTACGAGCGCATCGAGCTGGGTAACACACTCCTCTGAGAGCTGTAGCTTATTATGAATGATATATACAGTGTGTGTGTGTGTGATTCTGACAAGCCGTGTGTGTGTGTGTGTGTGTGTGTGTGTGTGTGTGTGTGTGTGTGTGTGTGTGTGTGTGTGTGTGTGTGTGTGTGTGTGTGTGTGTGTGTGTGTGTGTGTGTGTGTGTGTGTGTGTGTGTGTGTGTGTGTGTGTGTGTGTGTGTGTGTGTGTGTGTGTGTGGTGTGTGTGTGTGTGTGTGTGTGTGTGTGTGTGTGTGTGTGTGTGTGTGTGTGTGTGTGTGTGTGTGTGTGTGTGTGTGTGTGTGTGTGTGTGTGTGTGTGTGTGTGTAGGAGTGCTATACGAGGAGAAGGGCGAGAGGAAAAGCCCCCAGGTGTGTAAGTCTGTGTGGGATTACATCGACAGACTCAACAAGAAAACACCCGTCTTCTACAACTACATGTTCTCTCCTGAAGACGACGAGGTGAGACACACAGACCTTCATATTTGAACAAACATTATAGAAGCATCGATACAAAGGACACTTAAAACATTATCTAGGTTTGATCTGGAGCTACGGACGAGCTTGTTTGGTTATTGCTGCAGAAAGAGCTTTTACTAGTTATTAAATCCAAGGGTTCACACATGACCGATACAAAAATCTTTGGCACATTGTGTTTGTCGGTACTCTTGACTTAGATGACGATCAGATCACATTTTATGATCAATTCATGCTTAAAACCAGGAAAAGGATTCAGATGTGCAGGTTTCTGGGGTCAAATTGTAAAATCACTGAATATTTGAGCCTGTTTTCATTGAGAAATGATGTTTTATGTGTTCTATGTTGTGTAAATGAGGTTTATTAATCACATGTTTAGAGTACAACTTGGAATAAGTCAGATTATGGTTTGCTTAAAATGTGAAACACAGATTTG